CACGACCGATATATACTGTCCACAATAATAGTATCGCCCACCGGCGTAGATATATGAATAGATGAAACTAGAGACTCACGGGGCATATCCAGATAATGAGCAAAATACGATGATACATACGAATAAGTGGAACCAGTGTCAAATAATACAAAAGGTATCCTTGTGAAAAACTGAGACAATACCTGTGATCACTACATCTAAAACAATGGCATCTGGTCTAGCGGGAAGAGCATAGAATCTGGCCTGACCGACACCTGATCGGCCTCCCCCTCTAGGGCGACCTTTAGCTGACTGGGCCCTACCCCAAGCTGGCTGAGCGGGTGGTGTAGCAACTGGTGCAGAAGATGCAGCCTGACTCCTCTACTGTGCTGGACCTCCCTAATAATGAGGACACTGCCTCCACACATGCCCAAACTTCCCGCACTCAAAACAACTCCCTGGTGTCACTGATTGGGACTGAAAGGAGCCCCGAGCACCGAAATAACTGGTAGAAGGACCTCGCGTAGATGAGCCTTGAAGCGATAGAGCACGGTGAGAACACTGAGCTGGAAGGGCTGAGAGATAAGTGACCCTGCTGAGAACTATGTGAACCATGGCTAGATGATGCACCACGGTGAACTGGGCGAGCCGTCTAAGCATGCCTGTAAGGGCGACCCCTGCCGTGGTAGAACTGACCTCCAGAAGGAACACCATTAAAACCACCTGACCCTCGACACCTCTTGGCCTCCCTCCCAACCCGCTCCTAGTTGCGGACCATCTCTATCTGTCGAGCAATGTCAACAACCTCATTGAAAGTAACACCAGATACCCTCTCTCTAGTCATAAGCAACTGCGGCTGAAACGTGAAGCCATCAATGAACCTCTTGATACTCTCCCTATCAGTGGGAACCAACCAAACTGCATGATGGGCCAACTCAAAAAACCTCATCTCGTACTGCGTCACAGACATATCATCCTGACATAACTGCTCAAACTGTCTGCGTAGCTCCTCTCTACGAGACTGCGACACGAACTTCTCAAAGAATAGCACTCCTGCCATGTAAGTGGTGATATGCTGACCGGCCTACGCCTCTCGTAAGCCTCCCACCAACTAAAGGCAGTCCCAAAGAACTGAAAAGTAGTGAATGAGACCCCACTGGTCTCCAAAATACCTACTGTACGGAGAATCCTCTAACACTTGTCCAAGAAGCCCTAGGCATCCTCCACCTCTGTACTACTGAAAGATGGAGGCTGGAGTCTCCCAAACCTCTCCAATCTCCGTTGCTCATCATCAGACATAACAGGAACTTACATGGGCCCGAGCAGCTGCAATCGGCTGGGCTGGTAGTACCCCCGGTGTCTGGAGTCCCTGCATCACCTACTCTAGTGTGCGGGCGGCGGGAGTCTGAGTACCTCCCCCGGCCTGAGAAGCGGCTGCTGCGGCAGGAACAGAGACCGCCTGAGCAAGACTGGTGCACACGGTCAGAATCTGAGCTAAGGCCTCCTGAAGGCATGGGATCACAATGGGCACAACTGGTGCCTGAGCTGGCCCCACTGGCTCATCCACAGCTGGAACCTACTCCTGAACTGGGGCAACTGGTGAATCTGCAGATGCCGCCCTAGCTGCTATACGAGTTGCACCTCTGCCCCTACCGCAGCCTCTACCACGACCTCAGCCTCTCGCGGCCTTGACTGGTTGTACTGGTGGCTGTCCATCCTGCCTAGTAGTACGTGTCTTCACCATCTGTGAGAGAATAAACATAACAGAAGTTTAGTTACCAAAATAAACAGATTCGCACGACAAGAATTCAAGAACGTGAAGTTTCCTAAGGGTTCGGCAGCCTCTCGAAGATAAGTACAGACGTCTCCATACCGATCCGCAAGACTCTACTAATGCTGCTCATGGCTCGTGAGACCAATGTAACCTAGGCTGTGATACCAACTTGTCATGACCCAAATCCTAACTTGTAGTGATGGCGCCTATCGTGGTACTAGGCAAGCCGACATTTTCAAAATATTCCCAACAACTAACAGAAACTGAATCAAGTAGTTTAAAATAAGCAAAGTTTTCATAAACGAGGGTAAAACCCAAAATACAAGTGCGGAAAATAGTTCCCAATATCGGGGCGTCATTGAGCCCATGAGCATATATACATCACCAGTCTAGAAATGAAATGTCGGTAACAATTTGGATCTTAATACAACGAAAGAAAAGATAAAGAGGGGGAAACAAGTACTGCGAATGCCAGGTAGCTACCTCGAAATCTCCAGCGGTCAACTTTGCGGAATATCAACACCCTCCGCGTCCATAAACTACTGGTCTGCACACGAAGTGCAGGGTGTAGCGTGAATACAACCAACTCAGTAAGTAACAATACTAAATAATGTATTGAAAGATAATGACGAGCTACATAGTTATAGTTCAATTTCAGTAGTCTCAACAAAGAAAGTAGACATACTTTCAAATCCGGCAATTAAGTCAAATTAGTTTATACATGCCAAGTTCAAGTAAAAATCAGATAAAAATATCTCTCAGAAGTTTTCAAAACAGTGATATATGGCAACTATGTGCATCAATAATGAAATCATATACAGCATCTCAGGGCATAATCACTCAGTCCTCCCATTCACTCCAACCTCACAATCACTCATTCCTCACGGTCACTCGATCCTCACAGTCACTCAGCACTCGACACTCTCACTCAGTAGGTACCTGTGCTCACTGGGGTGTGTACAGACTCCGGAGGGGCTCCTTCAGCCCAAGGGCTATATCAAGCCAATCATGGCATAAATCAATAAAACATGCTGCGGCGTCCAGCCTAATCTCATAAACATCCTCACAATCAAGCATTCGGCCTCACTCAGTCATCAATCTCTCCAGTCTCTCGGGGCCTCAGAAATCATAAAAATCAGCCCAAACAACAATGATATGATGTATCAACAAGAAATAATAGAGACTAAGATATGATATGCGAGTAAAAACTGACATTGAGTACAAATAGCATTTAGCAGGTAATTCAACATGTAACACGGCCTCTGTGGATCCCAACAGTACCAACACATAGCCAAAACATGATTTATAACATGTTTTACAGTCAATTTCTATAACACATGAAGAGAATATACCTAACAACAAAAGTTTCACGGAACGAACCAAGTCACAATTCCCATGGTGCATGCCCACACGCTTGTCACCTAGCATGTGCGTCACCTCCAAAACAATCCCATAACACAAAATCTGGGGTTTCATACCCTCAGAACCATATTTAGAACTATTACTTACCTCAACCCAAGCCAAAACTCTACTCCAATACGCCTTTGCCTTGTAAATCAGCCTACAAAATAACAAGCCAAAATCCGAAATTAGCCAAAAGCGAGCCCCGGTCCCATGTCTCGAAATTCGACAGAAGTCACAAAACCCGAAAGTCCATTCACTCACGAGTCTAGTCATACCAAATTCATCAAAATCCGGCACCAAATGGCCATTCAAATCCCCAAAATCAAATCTCCAAATCCCTAGCCTCAAACCCCCAAATTACACCTCAAAAACCACCAACTAGGTGGGAAAATTAGTAAGGAAACATAATTATTGAATAGAAATGAACACAAGGAACTTACCTTAAAATTCATCTTGAAAATCCTCTCAAAAATCTCCAAAACCGAGCTAAAAAATGTTAGATATGTGAAAAATCCCGGAACCCTTGTTTTTGAACCTTTTTATACTGCCCAGTGATGCCTTCATTGCGAATGCGACCTTCCTCTCGCGTTCGCGTAGACCATTCTGACTGCCCCTCAATTTAACCCTTCAAGAAAGCGACCCCAGCCTCGCGAACGCGAAGCTTTGCCGACCCCACTCTTCGCGAACGCGACCACTGCCCCGTGAACGTGTTCACCAAAAGCTTGGGGTCCCCAGCTGCCTCAACACCTCTTCGTGAACGCATCACCATTCCCGCGTTCGCGATGCACTCTCAATCCAAACCTTCGCGTTCGCGTCCTTTTCTTCGTGAACGTGAAGAACAACATTTCCTCAGCCAACAGATGCCCTTCGCGAACGCGAGACCTCTCTGCGAACGCGTAAGAGGAAACCAGAAAATTCGCACCAGCAATCTTCAGCAATCAAGCTAAGTCCAAAAATGATCCGTTAACTACCCGAAGCTCACCAGAGGTCCTCGGGACCGCAACCAAACATACCATCAAGTCCCAAAATATCATACGAACTTAGTCGAACCCTCAAATCACCTCAAACGACATCAAAAACACGAATTGCACATTGATTCAAGCCTAACAAACTAATTTTCAAATTCTACAACCGATGTTGAAACCTATCAGATCACGTTCAATTGACCTCAAATTTTTCACACAAGTCACAAATGACACCACGAACCTACTCCAACTTCCGGATATCCAACCCGACCCCGATATAAAAAAGTCCACTCCCGGTCAAACTTCTCAAAAACTCAACTTTCACCATTTCAAGCCTAATTCCACTATGGACCTCTAAATCACAATCCAGACACGCTCCTAAGTCCAAAATCACCCAACGGAACCATCAAAAATCAAATTTGAGATCGTTTTCACATAAGTCAACATCCTGTTAACTTTTCCAACTTAAGCTTTCAATTATGAGACTAAGTGTCTCAATTCACTCTGAAATCTCTCCAGACCCAAACCAACCAACCCGGTAAGTCATATAACAGCTATAGAGCACAAAAGGAGCAGAAAATGGGGAACGGGGCTACAACTCTCGAAATGACCGGCAGGATCGTTACACTTACCCCAAGTGTTTAACAAATTTGACATGTTAAATCCAAATCAAATTACAATGATTTTGAGAGATTTCAAAGACTTTGAATTGACCGAAGAAAAAAATACTCTGAAAATTTGGGATAGTTACGTGAAGGGCAAATTTGGAAATTCTTATTCCTTGACAAGTTTGGGTGCTGTGCTATAAATAAGCCCACATACTGGAGTATAATAACACAACTTAAATTTTCCATTCACTCTTCTCATAAAGGAATAAAATGGCTATCAAATTCAATTCCATCCTTGGGATTCTCTTAGCTCTGGTGATTGCCGCCGTTCTCTTCCATGTCTCCACCGCACATGGCGACCGGAGAAAGGCTTTGGTATTTAACTGGAATCCTATAAAAAATGTAACGGACCCTAAGGTGGTGGACATAGGAATATTCGCAATAAATGAGCACAACAAAGAGGCGAAGATCAAGTTGAAATTTCAAAAAAACGTGAAGGGAGAGATCCAAGTAATTGAAGACGTATATTATGCCGAAAATTATCGGATGGTTATCGCCGCCACGGACGGCGGTGGTTCACCACTTAACTATTTGGCAGAGGTGACGGACATGCCATGGGATGAACGTAGGATCCTCACTTCCTTTAAAGAAACAAATTAAAATATTGTAAATTAGAAAGAGGAGAACAGAAAATACTACATGCAATTATTACTATATAGAATATAAAAGTTAACCATGAACTATCGTTATTAAAGATTGATACCAATTGAATATCAGTTTTAAAATGGATCAGCGGCTCAGTTTCTCACGTTATCATCAATTTCATCGTTGCTCTTCTTCTCTAAACTTTACATCACTACCTCCAATTTATTAGTGGATACAGTCTCTTGGAGAAATGTAGGTAAGACTGCGTACAGTAGACCGTCGTGATCCGGCTTTTCCCCGACCCCGCACATAACGGCAACTTAGTGCATCGGACTGCCCTTTAATCGTAAACATCACACAAAAAAGTTTGAAGTTTGCTTGCTTCCCGATTGTCTGAAGTTTTAACAAGCCTAACTTAATACGCGTGTGTCTGGATTTAGATAAAGCAAATGCTAGATTACAGGCCAAATTTTTTACTTTGGACACGGATTTTGCAACTTTGATTGTTTATGTGTCGAAAGTTAATTCTGAAGTATGTGTCGAAGTGGCTAAATTTATAAAAATTCATAAATGCGGCTATTCCTTAAATGGGGGCTCTAAAATCAGCTATCGGTGCACTTCCTTGGTAATTTTTTGATACACATACTATATTTTTATTTGATGCAGTGCGAATACTTTGATTTATTTTACCTGTCATTTGTTAAGTAGTTTAATAGTTTTTGGCCTTTTGCTTATTTTTTCATTTTTCTTCCTTTTTACACTTTTTGGGTGTCGTCCTTCCTGTACTCAGCGTGATCAGAAATATTTTGGTGCATCACGCTGCTTTATTTTTTTCCCCACATGTTATATATAGTTGTGTTAGGTGGGTATATGTAGTAATTGAGAGCAAAAATTTCAATAATAACACTGCTTCAATATTATTTGTAAACGGATACGCGGATTGACTTGAGTCGTGCTAGGCACTGTCCTAAGAAACTATTTCAGCAGTGTGAAATGTCTCTCCAGGATTAAACAAGCCTACCTCTATTTGGGAGGATACAGGAATCAGCAAAATATTAAATTACAAACCCAGCTAGCTAGTAGAAAAAGTAAATAAGAAAGAAAACAACTAATATTTAATATTGGACAATAAAGGAATTGGAAGGAAGAAGAGAGAGACGTATGAGAAGGATGTCTGATGATTGAAATTGGCTTAAGGGAAGACCATTTTATAGGCAAAAAAGCTTAAGGCTTTTCTTGCCATTTGTCAATTCTCTTGCCATTTGTCAATTCTCTTGCATGCATCTTGCCATTTATCTCTTCTAGAAGGCTTCCACATGGTCTTCTTCAAGACATTTGTCAACAAAAGTTTAAAATATTGCCACAGTCCCCCACTATTTTAAAGACTTTTTGAAATAGACTTGCTGGATTTGCATGGTCCAAATGTAATAGGTTTGGTGTCTTCTAGACTATGAACCAAACTTAGACCAATAAAATTTAACTCACAGAATTACTGGTGAAATATAATATTTCTATGAACCAATAATTCTTTTTGTAAGTCAGAGATTTTATCAATGACATTTTGACCCTCGGTAATTTTGCTGTTCAACACGGTTTTGCGCCCAATAGGCCATGCGCGTGCCTGGTTATTCATGAGAGCTCTAGAGACTAGGCCAAAAATCTCATAGTAGCGGCCCACTCCACTCTCATATAGGTGAATTCATCAAGTGTATACTGCTTTTAAATACACTATCCATAAGGACTATGAATTTCATTAACAGTTATAACTCAGCCTCTCAATTAGTAGCAGTCAAGCACTCTCTTTTAGTGTATCAGTGCCAATATCGACTTGTTGTTACCCATATGAACCTACTTCATGGGATCTCTAATCATATAGGTTGGGTTACCATCTCTATTGACAACATGTCGGCCTTAACCCCATCTCTTTTGAGGTTTGAAGAATTAATTTTCTTCCTACAGGTTTAGTCAGAGGATCGACCAAATTAATTTCTAACTTCACATAATCAATGGAAATTATTCCATCTCTCAGAAGCTGCTTTATGACATCATGCCTCAATTTCATATGTCTACTTTTATTATTATAAGATTTATTCTTTGCTATAGCTATTGCCGCTTGGCAATCACAGTGTATAGACACAGGAGGCAATACGTCCTTTATTAAAGGGATATTAGCTAAGAAGTTTCTTAGCCACTCAGCCTCAGAACCAGCTAACTCCAGAGCTACAAACTCTGATTCCATAGTCGATCTAGCAATGATCGTCTGTTTAGCTGATTTCCACGATATTGCACCACCACCAAGGGTGATACATAACCACTGGTGGATTTTGTCTCATCTGAATCAGAGATCCAGTTTGCATCACTGTACCCTTCTAAAGTAGAAGGAAATCCACTATATAGGATACCATAATTCATGGTTCCTCTCAAATATTTCATTAGTTTAGCTAATGCAGACCAATGCTCTCCGTTGGGATAATGAGTATATCTACTCAGTCTACACACTGCATAGGCTATATCAAGCGTTGTAAAATTCATTAAATGCATTAGACTCCCAATAATCTGAGCATATTTAGACTGAGCAACTGGGTCACCATTATTCTTTTTCAACTTAGAGTTAGCATCAAAAGGAGTGCACACAGATGTGACATTAAAATATTCAAACTTCTTAAGAAGTCTCTCAACATAATGTTCTTGTGACAACATTATTCCATCTTCACTCCTTATAACTTTAACTCCCAATATTGTATTTACTTCACCCAGATCTTTCATATCAAAATTAGCTGACAGAAATAATTTTGTACTTTGCACAATATTTAAATTTGTACCAAATATTAGCATGTCATCAACATATAGACATATTATCACATAATCATTATCTACAACTTTAGTATAAACACATTTATCCACCTCAACTGAAGAAAAACCGTCTCTCAGTAAGACTTGTTCAAATTTCTCATACCACTACTTAGGAGCTTGTTTAAGGCCATAAAGAGATTTAATTAATTTACAAACTTTATTTTCTTGTCCAGGAATGACACAGCTCAGGTTGAACCATATAAATTTCTTCTTCTAAATCACCATTCAAAAAAGCAGTTTTGACATCTATTTGGTGGATAAAAAGCTTACCGATTGAAACTAAGGCAATTAAAACTCGAATAGAAGAAATTCTAGTCACTGGTGCAAATGTATCAAAATAATCTATATTTTGATTTTGAGAAAATCCTTTTGCTACTAACCGAGCTTTATATTTATCTAAAGATCCATCAGGATTAAATTTTCTTTTAAAAATCCATTTACAACCAATATGTTTTGCACCAGGAGGTAAATTAGTTAAAATCCATGTATTATTTTTCATAATGGAATCAATTTCAACTTTTATTGCCTCTTTCCAATATTTAGCATCTGAAGAAGATATAACTTCAAAATAATTTGATGGTTCATTATCGACAAGAAAAGTATGAAAATCATTTCCATATGAAAAATATTCTTTCCTAGGCCTTTTGCTCCTTCTCAATTCCTCATTAGAGGTAATTTTATTATTTGTTTCAACAGATGTATGAGAAATTTTTTCAGACAGTGGATAAATATATTCAAAGAACTCAGCATTCTTTGTCTCAATTATAGTATTGCAATCAAGCACATCACTTTTTAAAACAAGAAATCTATATGCGGCACTATGTTCAGCATATCCAATTAGCATGCAATCAGCAGTTTTAAAACCTATTTTTCTCTTTTTAGGTTCAGGCAAAAGAACTTTAGCAAGTACCCCCACACTTTTAAATATTTTAAATTAGGTTTATAACCCTTCCACAATTCATAAGGAGTTTTGCCTGTTCTTCTATGTGGTATTCTATTTTGTAGGTGACATGCAGATAAAATTGCTTCATCCCACAAATTATCAGGAGCATTAGAACTAATTAACATAGAGTTCATAATCTCTTTCAATGTTCTATTCTTTCTTTCAGCTACTCCATTTGAATCAGGTGAATAAGGCGGAGTTACTTCATGAATAATTCCATTATTTTCACAAAATTCATTCAAAGATAAATATTCTCCACCTCTATCAGATCTAATTCTCTTGATTTTTCTGCTAAGTTGATTTTCAACCTCAGTTTTATAAGAAATAAAAGCATTAAATGCATCACCTTTATTTCTAAGCAAATACAACTTCGTATATCTAGAAAAATCATCAATAAAAGTCACATAATATCTTTTACCGCCTCTAGTCATAGTCTTCTTTAAATCGCCTAAATCAGTGTGAATCAAGGATAACAATTCAGTTTCTCTATTTACGGAAAAACAAGTCTTTCTAGTACTTTTAGCTTCAGCACATATTTCACACTTGTTAATATTATTTGAGTCCAAAATAGATATTAATTCTAGCGACTGCATTTTCTTTATATACGCGACATAAACATGTCCTAGTCTAGCATGCCACAAAGAAATTGACTCAACCATATAAGCAGAAGAAGATGCATTTTCATTGCTAGTATCAGAAATATTAAGCACAAATAAATCATAGTTACAATATCCATTGCCCACAAAATATAATTTTTGGTCAATACGACCTTATCATTCTCGAAAGAAACCTTCACTCCAACTTTTTCTAATAATCCCACAGACACTAAATTGGTTTGGATATTAGGAACATGTAATACATCACTCAATGCTAGAGTTTTACCAGATGTGAGTTTGAGAAGAATTTTTCCTTTCCCAAGAACACGAGTTGTTCTTGAGTCACCAAGATAAATAGTTTCTTCTCCTTCCTCAACTTGGGTGTAAGACAAAAATTCATTTTTGTTTGCACATATGTGCCTAGTAGCACCAGAGTCTATCGCCCTATCTCTCACATTGACCCCATTATTTATTTAGGAAATGACCGCAATAATTATATTATCCGCTTTAGTCAAATTTAATTTTGACTTAGTGAGATTGTCATTTATCCCAGCTCTTCTCTTGCATTGACGTGCATTTTTCTTGAAGGTTTTAATATTAGCATTAGATATGTAACCATGTCT